TAGTTTAGCGTGCGCAACGGCCTAGCGTACGCCACGCACGAGAGGGGGCAAGAGTGCGCATGCGCGGAACCTAGAGAGATGCGTGCGTTTGCGCACTCTATTTGACTCAACGTTATTTGACTTGCCCGTTCTGGTGTTGGACGCCCCAAACGTCACCTTCTGTAGTTCACGACGTGACAGTTCGTGAAAAACGCATTAAACTCAGTATTTTCCCGTAGTTTCTGCCTGGAATGAAAGTTGTCTATCCATTTCAGCGCCCAATTTTTAATTTAGCTGAAAATCTTGCCGGCAAAAAATTTGTTCAGTATTCCTGTAAGTACCCCTGACACCAAATTTAAAAACTCGAGATGCTTGTGTTGTTTGACCTGTGTGCGGGGGCACGTCTGACCGATTATTAGTAAGGCTTTAATTATTAGTGACGAGAGTTGCCTATAAGGTATTTTTTTTTACAATCTGGTTTTAAAATAAGGCTCTGGGCTCATCTGAGTGTTTTGCCGGAATGGACATTTTCTGTGGTTTGACGTTGGCAAGGGACCCCCCACCCCACCCCTAGGACGTGGCAGAGGGCAAGCACGTACTGTAGACGTGAGAGCACAGTTGCGAGGCCTGACTGGCACCTGGCGAGGCATGGCCTCCGAGATGGGGGGTGGGGCATGTTTTTCTCCGGCCGTCCTGATCGAACGAATAGCGCCCCGCGCGCCCTGCTACCGCGTGAGGGCAAAGTTCCCGCGGTGGCTGAAACCGTGGCATACAGCAGAGCGCACGGGATTCCAGCGTGCGCATGCTTTTTTTTTTTGCCTACAAGCATCACTGCCAGGATATTCTGGCTGAACTGAAGGAAAGTATTTTTTTTTGTTACTGCATTTATTTTGGTCAACTTTGCGAGGAAACGCAGGGCAACTGCGGCATTTTCCTCATAGGTAAGTGTAAGGAGGTATCACTTCGTCTGTGGCAGCATTACTTTCTTTTTTCATTATGGTCCGTTTTGTTTCGGTGCTACCGCAATAGGAGAAATATAGGGCCATTCTAGTATTCCTCCTTTCCTCTGGAGACTTGTATGGGTGAAAATTGGACTAATTACCGTCGTTGAATCGTATTGCTCTCCTATCCCGACTCATAATTTTACTATTATATGGCGTGAGATTTATGAGGTGGGCAACCGAAGCGCAGTTATGCTCTAGATAACTGGTTGCCCTGGTAATCTTATCGAAATAAGCTACGTGTCAAGTAATTTTGCCGGAATAATATATAAGGCTTCGATTAGCCGACCTACATTCTCTCCACGTCTTTCATAGTGAAAGTTCCCGAGTTGTAATCGTCTCCTTTTCGTCATCTGAATTTCGATTGTTTTGGTAGCACAATGGCGATATCAGTGTCGTGTTCACTTACTTTGCTCTCGGCTGCATGCAAATTAAAGGGTCGCACATGTAGCATAACGGCGTCTTTCTAATGAAAACTAAGTATTCGTCGAGGTAGGCCACCAAAGAAAAAAATGCAAATTACCATTGCTATGTAATACTGCTGTGTTTCATACCAGGTACATCAAACTCCAAACGCGGGTTTCACACTTGTTCAACTATAAAAAAAATTTGATGTTCGTTCTTACATTGCCCAACGTATCTACTGAACACCGTAAAATTCACAGTGCGAATTGGCGACCATAAGTGACCAAAACGGGCCTGTAACCAACCTTTGGATGTCGCAGAGCTAGCGACGTTCAATCTATACATAGTTAAGACGCGTGGCGACCGCCTGCACCCTCCTTCCTGTATCCTGCATCTGCAGCTCGACGGCAGGATTCTTGAAACGGTACTATGAAAAGTAACTCTATACTGTGTTTCATACAACATGTGCAACACCGTGGAAGCTAGAGAGACTTCTCAAAGTCGATGCGTTCGTAACGAAGAATTGTTCATTGTTCTTACCACCAATAACTTTTTTTTGTCGTTATTACGGTGAGAAGTAATCGAAGATATTTTGCGCCTTACAATTAAAACCGCCATTGAACGTCTGTTATGCAATGTATTGCTTAGTTTCCTCGTGATGTCGCATAATGGCTCTCTGCTCTGCGTACGTCATGTTGGTGGCCACCTGGACCTTCTATCTCATGAGACAGTGTCAGTTGCCGGAGGACACCAAAAGTCGCTTAGCCCCCGCGTTCTTTCGTGCTGTCTTCGCTTTCTTTTGTTCACCAGTCGCGTCAAGGGGAAGCTCAAAGAAACGCGTAGGATGTACCGGCAGATCTGATGCGACTGACCGCGAGACGAGCGGAGTTATACGTTTTGCTGGCCGAACTTTTTGCATAGGTTCCACAGCATTGCACGTGATGTATGAAACGGAATATAGTTCCATGAAAGGAAAGAAAAGCAACCCGTTTAATCGAGTGTCACCCATGAGCGTAGAACGCGGCACTCTTCTGACTTCGCTTGGTAATCAGGCTGTCATTTCTTTTTTCCTTCGCCAGTGCCCTCCATACTATACAGCCTGCAAACTTCAAAGTACAGTAAGTTTCTAGCACATGCGAATCGCAACTATAAGTGCTCTAACATGGGTGCAAAGCTACAGCAAAAGAAAAAAAATCCCATGTGAGAATTATACGTCCAAGCATTGACTTTGCCTCTCATACACCTTTGCCCGATATTTCCAAATGAGTGCGAATTTACATAAAAGCGCAAAACCATTTTTTCCCTCGCCACATGCAAGCTTCGCCAACAGCGCGGCAGTCTTTTCCACCTTATGAAGCAGCGCTGCGGTGCGGAGAAAACGTGCTACACCAACACCCGGAAACGCGCTCTCTCTGTGCGACTGAGACGGCCGAAGAGATGGATGGATGGGTGGATTGATTTATGTGGCTGTACGCTTTAGATCGGGCGGCTTACGCCACCTAGCCGTAATACTTAATGAACCAACTACTAGGTTTATCTTTTTTTTCCCTTTAAATAGTGAAGTTGAGGACTGGTACTTTGCAAACGCCGACGTTTGATTTTATTGCTTTCAACATCGACAAATATACAGGCAATGATCACAAAGTAAAACAAACTGTTACATAAAGGGGAAACAAAATATGTTCTCAAATATTACGCAAAAAGGATAAAATACTGATACTACGTGGCACGTAATAGTAGTGCTGGATACCTGACCTTATTCAATGCGCAACTAATAATAGAAACCCGCCGAGTGCCCGCCATCTAGGAGACACCACTCTCGCTCTCATGTCGGGATCCTCCCAAGGTGGTCTTGGCCGAATACGCCATCAATGTGTGTGTTTATTTTTTTTTAAGGGGCGAAGTTCCTAAGGGCGTGGGTGAGTCGCTCCTCCGTATGTATGTATGCATGGAGTTTCATACAATAATATCTAGAGAGGAATCTGCCGCTGCGGTCGTGTACCCGCATGGGAATTATGGAAAGTACGGGCTTCGAATAGGTGACCAGTAAAAGAGCGAGGGATTGTGGGATGCACCGTTTGCGACCGGCTACCGGTTCGAGAAGAGTAGACGACAGCGAACCGCTTCACCGCAAACCTCAGATTATTCAGGATTCGCGTGCACGATCGCCTGTTTTCTTCCTCCTGATAAACCATGTTCGGTTGTTCGGCCGTTGGCTGCTCCAACTCGAGCGTGCAAGGCCAACGCAGTTATCTATTGCTATGTAATAAAGACAGAAAAACGAGCTGGGCTGCGACTGTGCAGAGAGCCACAGCGACAGGTAGCCTTTGAGTACGGAACTTTGAAGCCAGATTGTGTGAAAACCATGTTATCACAGGTACGTGTGTATTCCACACTAAAATCATACGCATGAGTTTGCGGCAAATATTATATTGAGAAATAAATTGTCGCGCTGGTGCGCCTAGCAAAGATGTTATGGGAACGGGCGGGCGAAATCTACCTGTCAAACGAGATTAGCGCCGGTCATTGCACCCATATATATGCCAAAAAACGCGAAAGCTTCACTCAAGTGTAAGTTTACACGAAGCGCTGGACGAGCTCATTTGCATTTATCTTGGTCGAACTGTGCGCCATGCAGAACGGCACCCAAAGAAGAAGTGCGTTAAACAAGCGCGGGGTTTCGATTATTCGGCGCCGTCTATGTCTGACTGTATTCTTTATGTGCCGCCGTGGCACGCAGCTTGACCAAGATCAGCGTTCAAATCTGGCTTCGACTAGAAAATATATCTTATAGCGTACTGAAGGCTAGAAAAAAAAAATATCTCAACGCGCTCAATAAGTGCTGCGCTTCATGCCGATCGACTGACGATGTCGGACTAAGCAGCGATCCCGAAATGAACTCTTAGCACACTGCTACAGTCATCCCCATCCCCTGAAATATTTAAAATCGTGACTTTTTATCTGCAGTAACGTATAATACAATGAAAACTGTTTTTTGTATCGACTGATCTGCTAGCCGAACTGACAGTACCCCCAAGCAGCATAATAGCATCGCAGATCATTTTAGAGCGATAAAAAAGTTTCCTGGCCGTTCATGGCTTTCGTAGCTTGTCATCGTCACAGTACGCAAAAAAAAAAAAAAAGCTTCTGAAGCACTGACATTGCATGGAGAGGTGCTTTTTTCAACGGAGCAGTACAATAATGCGCGCGTGCCGCTGCTGGCCCGTGTGGAGCGTCGAACCGGAAGCCGTCTTTCCTGCGATTGCCCATTTTACCGGTCACCTATTGGATAGGGTTAGCTAGCAAACTGTCTACAGACTATTTTCTACAGTTTCAGTTTCGTTCTTCGCGCAGCGCGGGTAATGGGGTGCGGTAAAAGGCACTGAAGCAGCGCCTTTGTTCAGACCTAGTGGTCTTCGGCCACTAGGTCTAAAGTGTCCTGCGACTTTGGAGCTTTACGAGTCGTATTTGACAGTTTAAACGAATCGTCGTCCACTCACCGCTGCGATAGATGTAGCGTCTCGTGCCAGTGCAGGATATTGCATCGAGTTCATGTTTTTTCACGAGCGCGTCTTGCCTAAACTCGTTTTAAATCGACTGCAAAACGATGACGAGCCTAATGGCGAATTCCATTGAGAGAACAGGAGTAAGGGTGCCGAGCAGAGAGGAGTAGGGGGCAGAGCACTGAGAGCCGCGTCACTCGACCTGCCACTGGAATGCGGCACACCTCCGCAGAGCAGGTGTGAGGGAATAAAAAGGCGAGTGAGGAGAAAGGTTGTGCATCCCAGCGTCCTCTGCTGCAAAACACGTGCGGTCTGATCCGGACGGGCAAGGAAAGCACGTGTGGCAGTGGTTGGTACAGCGCACTCGCTTGCGCGCTATCCTGCAAAGCTGCTGCTTCGTATACTACTACATGATGGACTCGGAAGCTCAGCGCATCCTACTGTCTTTAATTCAACACCAGGCACCATCTAGTACGGAAGGTAAAGTGAATTTGATTGCTTTTTATTTGTTTCAGCGCACTTGTCGCGCATGCAGCATGCAATGCATTCTTGCGCGCGTGGACCTAAGCCCACTATTCTTTATCATATCAGAAAAACACCGTGGATATGACAGCTTTATCAGACTGTTCATGCAGTTACCAGCTGCTGCTGTCATCAGCAGTTAACAAAACGTAAACAATTCTAGAAGTACTGCAGTACACTATCCTGTTGCCAAGTTTCCTTGCATGAGTAATTAATCCTTAATTCAAAACAAACTTACATTGCAGACCCCTCCATCAGCAACAGAATGATTCGCAGCGTTTTAAGAAAAGTAACTGCGAAGTGGCGTGTAGCAAGTGTCACGTGGGTGCAGCTAAGTATTGCACGCAGTAACAATTTATTTTTATTTCTGATTTTTAAGTGGCTAATGTCTCCAGACGGCAGATCAGCATCCCACGTGATACGGTGAAGCCATACATCTCCTCGGAAGCACGATTTCTTATCGCAGGGTCGAGATGCTACGTATGATAAGCGATATTTTTTTTTAATTATCAGTGATTTGTGCAGTGTTTCATGCAGCCCTGTAACATGATGAATTGACTTTTTTAGAATTTGTTTTTTGCTTGCTCTAATCCGCTTACCTTCGAGTGTAAGGCATCCGAGTTTGCATAATGTAGCTGACTACTTGAGAAACCATTTTCATTATATAACTGATTTGATTACATTTCCATCATTGTGTGAAAACAGATGCAGTTCTGCGTACAAATATGGCTGGCGATGTGCCAAGGCGAGGGAGCGAAGAAATGCGCATGGAGCTCAGATTGCCATGCGTTGAAACAGGAGGTGGTAAGTATTAGTATTAACATTATTGCGAGGCACTACATTTACTGCTCATTTATATTTTTTAGATGGCACAGATACTCTGCACCTGCCAGCTCCCACTGCATCAAGATCAGCTGACGGGGAGACTGGTGCTCAAAGCAAGCCATCAGGCTCCAGGAGAGGAGGTGGAGGCAAGTATATTAACACTGAGTGTCTACAATTGCCTCAGCAAGTGTTCTTGGGTAAATCTAACAAGCATGCATCAGAGCGTGTAAAAGTGTACTTGTAGGAGTGATCCTTAAATGACAAAAAAAAAAAGAGAGCATGGAAAGCAGACCACTACAATTACTGGAAGACTGGCACAATTTGCATATTGCATTTACATGCACAATACCAGAACTTATCACTTATGTATGTTTGCTAGTCTGCGCAAATGCTTGTTTTGTTGATTAATGCTTGCTGATTGATAATTAAGCTCAAGTGACCGTGCTGTGTGTTAAATTATTCAATTATAAGTAATGCCTGCACAATGACCGACAGTTTCCCAATAAACCATTTATGTGTTGGTTCTTTCTTATTCTAGCTGCTGAATGGACAGAGGGGCAAACAAGGCTGCTCCTAGAGTACTACCTCAAATATTTCCCTCAGATTGGCCCATTTAAAAAATTCAAAAACAGGAAGCAAGCCTTTAAACAAATATCGATGGACATCGAGGCTGTGCTTGGCATAGCCAAAACCCCAGAACAGTGTGAAAATAGGTACAAAACAGTAATTAGGCGTCGGAAGGCGTCTTCCGACCATAACAAAAGGTCTGGTGCTTCACCCACCCCTGTGCCTTTTGACGACGAGGTGAAAAAAATTGAAAGCATTGATGACAGCATTGAACCGGAGGTAGAGCGAGACGCCTCAGGGGCTACATTCAAAGCCTCGCCCGAATCTCCGGCCGTGTTGTCACCTGCCAACACCACTGAGGAAAATAAGACGCAGTCCTCAAATCCCGACACGAAGCCACGGGTAGGAACTGCACGCCTGGCACACATGCAGTTGTTTTTTACTGAAATGAGGGCACTGCAAGAAGAAAAGGAGGCTCAAAAGGCGGCCAGACGTCAAGAAAAAGAAAATCGAAGAGCTGAAAGGCAGGCCGAGCGACAGGTGCTTCGTGAAGAGCGGCGCAAAATGCATGAAGAAAAAATGGAGATTCTCCGTCAGGCCTTTGGACTTCCAAAATAAAGTGGTAGTTTTAAATAAATAAACGTACTACCCAAAGCGATTACTTAGTTTCAATGTCTTTTATTTTCTAGTTTGGCACAATACACTACCTTGAGAAAATGCAAATGGGCCAACAGGTGTGTGGTAAGGACAATTTTTCCCAACCTTGAAGGTGTTTTAACGAGTTCAGCTTTTCAGGTGGGCCTTTGGTAAGCATATATTTGCTCACAACTGCATAACACGTAAAGGAATTCCTTGTTTCATGGCTGCTGGTTCTGCAACCCCATTTTTATCATCAAGTGATCTCTCTTGATGCTAGCCAAGCCACGTAATAGGCTATCCTGTTGGGCTACACTACTGCTGCTTACTTGAACTGCAGAAGAGCTTGAGTCTACATTTGTTGTTTGTGAGGTAAGTGACAGGTCTCGTGACAGGTTCTCTGGCAAATCTCCACAATCAATGCAGAGGTTGTGAAGCACACAGCATGAAATGATAAACTTGGACATGTTATCCACTGTCCACATATCCAACCTGTGCAGTTGTCTGAAACGATTTTTTAAATCGCCAAAAGTATTTTCAATAAGCACCCTTGTCCCGGAGAGTCTTGCATTGAAGGTTTTTTTGATGCTGTCAAGATTCCCATAGTCTCGAATTGGTGTCATCAGGTACTCCCGGAAAGGATATGCAGCATCCCCCACTATATGGTACTTGCTAGAGCACAGTTGTGGCAAAACACTTGAAATCCTGGACCGACGGAAAATGCGTGCGTCATGAATTTTGCTTGGGTAGCCAGTGCTGGCATCAAGAAACCTCTTCTTGTTGTCACAAACACCTTGAAGTGTCAAGGATAGGTAATGGTGCCGGTTTATATAAACAGATCGCACTTTCCTGGCTGGGCACCTGATAGGCATGTAGCTTCCGTCAACACACCCAATTGTGTCTGGGAATCCCGACAGCTGCAAGAGAAAAAAATGTGCACACACATAGTCAAATAAGCATGGCACTAAGGGTAATGAAAGGTGCCAATAACATGCGGAAAAGTTTAAAACAAACTGGAGACTTGAAGCTCATAACGGCGAGTGCAATACACTACCGGTACACATGATTGAAATTAACTGGCTATTTAATTGTGAAGCATCTGGGAAAAATAATTGTAATAACTTATTTAAAAGGTGCATTCTGGCACTAACTAATTCATAATTGTAATAGTAGAGCGGTAAAGAACACATGGGACCGCACGAAGGGGAATTAATGACACATACAGAGTACATACAGAGTGCACAAGTAACTGAACTCTAGGTTTATTCACTGTACATGCAGGACAAGTACTAGATGTACATCACTAAGCAGAAGATGGGAAAATAGAAGAGATATGAAACAGCATCACATGGTCAAAACTACTCAAGAAAAATGTCCGATTGCTGACAGCATTTGTAATACACATGAAGGAGGCTTGACTGTGTGGTGCTCTTTCATATCTCTTGCATTTTTACATTTTCTGTTCATTTGCAGTTCTGATCCTGCATATCAGTTGCTTTCAGTCCTTATTGTGGTTTGAGTAGGTGTAATTCCTCTTAGTCTGGTCCCTTGAGTTGTGTAGAGCTGTATGACATTGGTGTGAAAAAAACTGTAGTTTATACCTTAAATAGCATGTTTACAAAAGCATAGTTACCTTCTCAAAATCCACAGCAAGCTTCTGCAGGTCACTGGGGAACTTGATTACATTCGGTGCTATGTCGAGCAGGAATGCAGTTACTCGGCCCATCATTCTGTGGTGAGTGCTTTCTGCGACTTCAAAGCGGCCAGCGACATCTCTAATGCATGCTTTGTTGGCTGCATACCTGAAAAGGAGAGGATACTCTAATTAAATAATGGAATTAAGCTTGCTGTTGCTGTCAATGACTGAATAATGGTGTTAACAATGCTGTCGCTGTCAATGAAGCAAATTAGCAAGACAACTGAAGTCAGAAAACACGATTCCACCTTTTTGGGTGACACCTTAGAAACTCAAAATATTTGATTAGTAGAAGCACTATCTAAATAACAAATTCTAATTTTAATTCGCGCATTACATTTATAAGTGTGGAGATGAAGCTCACTGTGAACCTGCTGACACAGCCGATTTGAAATGCTTCGTGAGCAAAAGTTTTCATGGTTGTTTGTAATGATGCATCATGAATTATGCTTTGCCACTGATTCTAGTAACGAGAATTTTGTGAAGCTCAGTGTGTAGGTGTACAAACTACGAAAGCATTTCACAAAATACTATAACTCTATTACGTTCGACACTCGCTAGTAGCATTTAACAAGTTTAAAGCAAGGTGGTCCAATGACATGCTGCGAATTAGGTACATTTATTTGCAATATTTCATATGCCTCTAACCCACTATAAAACGGATTATGCAGTGACCTGATGACAGCGGCATTCCTAAACGTACGGACACTCACCAAAGAAAGGAGAGAATGTGTTCTTCAGCCGACTTGGCAGGCAGGCCACCATGATCACTGTTCTGAGGGCAGTGCGGTGACTTGGCGAATTCTGCTGCCAAGAAGTCCACGACCGGCCGCGTGACGCGGAAATTTCTTTTGAACTGGAAGAAAACAGGCCTTTAAGCAACCTAATTAAAACAGAAGCCGAATGACTCACCTCCTCGTCGGAGTAGCTAGCCACCGTCTTTGTAACATATGCTTCCACTTTCGGCCTTCGCTCTGGCAGAGAAAAGAGCTGCTGAAACGCTGCTGCATACACTTCGTCGTCATCGTCGCTGCTGCTTGAACTCGACTCGGACGTAGAGCTCCAGCAGCTATCGCTGCTGACATCGTCTAGCTCGTCAAATACTTCGGCAAGACGACGACGTTTTGCTGCCTCCGCCATCCGTGAATCTGAAGGCAGGCAAGGTGGACGTTCACTGCCAGAATCTGCCGCTACGACGTTAAAATCGTTCGAGCCCGAGCACCACGCACGCTTCGCTGCCGCCATAACCGCCCGACACGACGCCGCAAAATGTAAACAAGTGAGGAGGATTGCTGAGAGGGTATGTCCGGACATGACGTTCCAAACACGTGGTTTCCTGCGTTTTCCACTCACTCCGCTTTTTAAGAGGGAGCAGACAGAACTGCTCCTGGCTGCTCTCGGCGCAGCAAAAGCGCTCTCGCTCTACCAATGGATGACAGTGCTCCTACTCCTGTTCGACCACTGAAACACGCCGCCTCGGAAGAGAGCACTTTGAGCGTGCTTTTGAGTGCACCTGCTCTCCCAATGGAATTCGCCATAAGTAGACGCACCGTCTCGCTCCACTGACTCGACTTCACAACAAAACCAGGTGTGCGTTGGGGGCAGACCACTGGGACCGCTGGGAAAGACGCACCTAGCGTTGCAGCAGACGAAACGATAAGTGTTTCTCACTTAGTGCTGTACTGTTATTTTTTATAAATAGATAATTAATACTTTCGAGAGAAAAACAAGCATGTTTGTTTTCAAGTGTTGTAAAAAATGATTCATTAAATCTTGATGCCAAATCTAGAACGCAATGCCAGAGCGACGCATACCCTGATGGTTTAATTTGACCAAGTTTCACTTTTGGCTTCTCGTCACAAAAGCTTTTTGCATTAATTTTTGCGTACAAATAATTGAAGCAAATTTCAATTAAATTTAACTTCATATCGCTTTTTTTACACTCGGGAAAAGAAGTGTCGCGAATTTCAAGAACGTAATACATCCGAAGCGGATCCGAAGCCTGTACTTCCCATAATTCCCATGGGAGCACAAGCGCCGCTTAAGTATATCCTGCATAGACACTAGCGCCAGATTCCGCTCCAGGTATTATTATTGTATGTATGTATGTATGTATGTATGTATGTATGTATGTATGTATGTATGTATGTATGTATGTATGTATGTATGTATGTATGTATGTATGTATGTATGTATGTATGTATGTATGCATGCATGCATGCATGCATGCATGCATGCATGCATGCATGCATGCATGTATGTATGTATGTATGTATGTATGTATGTATGTATGTATGTATGTATGTATGTATGTATGTATGTATGTATGTATGTATGTATGTATGTATGTATGTATGTATGTATGTATGTATGTAGCAGCTGGTGGCACATACCCGCTCTAGAGTGGATATGCCACAGGGGATGCGAGATGGGAGTACTTGGAGTGTTCACTAGATGTACGCACGGACGGACGAACCGACAGACTAGCAGACTGATGGATGGACGCACGAACGGACGGACAGATGGATGGACAGAGGGACGGACGCACCAGCTTCTCCACTGACACTATTATCTCGGCATGGTATCTGTCACTATCGTTAGCGGCTCTGCAGTTGCGTGTTACGGCACTGGTTGCAAGGGTGCTTCTTTTTTTGGTTTCGACGGCCGAGAAGGCAAGGCTGACTGTTATCCACTGTGCCTACGCTTCCACCGTTATGACACACTAAACAGCGCACACAACAGATGTGTCACTTTGGGGAGGCGTTTTGCGCTGACCCTAACCCTCTTGCATGCGTAATCATGCGATAAACAATTAAATTTTAGAGCTGGATATCTCGGAGCTGCTAGAAAAAATCTTCCAACTGAAACTGTGTACAAACACCATTGCCTACATCTGTTTTATTGTTTTACTTACAACAGCAAGTAAAACGTTTAGTGAATTTTAGTTAGTTTGCACAAGTGGTTCGTACGTGCCTTCAAGAGCCTAATTTAAAAAAAAAAAATCGTGAAGCTTAACTTCGAACAAGTGGTATATAAGCTTAGCAGCAGTTACCTACGGCTTCGTAGCGACAATCCCGAGTATACCGTGGTTTCGTCTCAGACTTGTCATTTTGTTATCTTCCAGCTCAGTCAGTTCAAAAGACGTAAGTGAGATCCATTGTTTGGCTCTCCTCTATAGGAGCGTTCGTCGATTCATTGGACGGAGGCTGTTCGCCATATTGTTTTGTTCTTGTTTTGTTCAGAGACGTTTACGTTGCAGTTGCTCTAGTAAACCTACGCTGCAAAAAAGCTCCGTTAAAAAGGAAATAAAACAGGGATGATTGGGAC